TCAGAAACAACCACAGTGACAACGTGGGCAGAAAGGAATACACTGATAGGATTGAGACCAGTGAATGTCGCTGCTGGTCCCAGATTGTGGAATGAACATTTCGATTCCTCCTCGATCTTGGTTTTGCACATACGGGCAACAAAGTTCATTTTATGCAGTGCCACCAACAAATTACCTGTAAACGACAGAAAGGAGGGTCCCTCCCCAATGACAGTATCGATCAATCTACCCTGCTTTCCATAGATGAGTTCCTGTAGTGCACTGCATCTGCAGTGGATCGGATGGCACACAAACTTAGACAAACTTGACGATATAAACAGGTAGTATGTGCGTACCATAATACATGCAGTATTTGGCAATCTTCGGCATAGGTCGATAAAACGATAGTTACAATAATGGCGATCGACGGAAACTCTCTCGCTCTCTCGCATGTAACCAAATACGCAAACCCGGCGGTGTTTTGTTCTAAACGCGCGGGTGCACACGATCCAAACTATCTGCTGACCTTGTTCCAAACAGACCTGTAATGACGGTCTGACCAGATTCAGCCGGTAGAATTCGGTTGAAGCGGTGAACTTTTATTATCAAATGTTGTGCACCCGTGCATTCGCCGCCAGACGAATACAAACCCGCCCCGCCCCGCTCCTCGAGTATCACATACCACACCATAGAAATGCCCATGCACGCACGGTCCGAGTAGACCCTGAAGACGATGACTCAGACAAATGTTTACGATCGTGCGGGTGACAACACATGGGTAGAACACACACACGTGTGTACGACTACCGTCATGCGCACAAACTCTTCGGATCCGCCCTGTCCTGTGTTGTACAGCCGTTTAGCCAAATAGGACAGCGATTGTTATCACATCATCCGAATTGGTTTACACGGGACAATCGTGAGACAGAAATTTTTGCCGATTATGTCCATCGATGAAGAGTGAACATTGAACGCATCTGAGATTCCATTTTACTTCCCGACCGCCCCTCTCTTATCCGGCCATCTCATAACTTGAATACCATTTGGCAGTCTCTTGTGTGATTTTAAGAATTACAAGACATAAAAATACATGTATTGAGGTAAGTTATGGTTTGATCGTGGTAGTATCCACTCATGACTGCAGTGAGAGCGGAACATTTGGTTAAGCTGTGAAACGCATGATTCGAGCTTTGGATAAACAAAGAGATGTTCGGATACCTAACCTGAACACGATGTCTACCTCCAAAATGATTCAATACATTATTGAGTCCAAAAAACGGAACGTTGTTGAATTCATTGATGCAAGGCGGTGTTCTATTCGGGTAGTTCCTTTTTTGCTCGTAAAACACCCCAAAATACAGTATCAGAGAAAAGCGGATCGATTGGACAAAAGTGTTCAAGCACAGCTGAAAATAAACCACGCGCACATACCACTGTGTCATCGCATCACAGCTACAATACGATGCACAATTTATATTGCTGATTTATTTCCGACCGTTTTAAGTGGGCGTTGTTGGGTTGAATCAGTCTTTGAGATCGATCGATAGCTCTATCGTGGTGGTGTTTTCCTAGTGTCTTAAGCTGCTTACTTCAGGCCAAGTTATAGTGGCTGACTTGTTTGTTTCGGGTTGCCTTGATCTTCCTCTCGGACGACAATCTCATACGCTACATCTTCGACTTGCTGCAGGAACTTCGATTTATCGGTACCATCTTTGGTGCACATCTTTCAGCAAGATAGTTCCTAGTGTTAGACATTTATTCAGACGTCTCTAATAGGCTTCTGGTCACTGACCTGATTAAGCGTCATAACTGGAATTCTGGTCATAATATTGCTGTTGAACTGAACTCGGTATCTGCTGCACTTCATCGCTAATATTCCAATTGATCAGAACGTTCAAAGTTCTCAGTGGTTGTCGATAAATAGTAGCAGATTCTCTCTCTCTCTGTTAACGAACACAAGATTACCATATCTCAATATTTACAAGAGCACCAACGGGAACAGTAGAGGGCTCTAACTTTTTACCTGTTTGACGGTAGATGATAAGTGATACCCAACCTTACAGTATTATTGCTAATCTAAGGTAATATGATGCTCCGGATCTCGGATTATGTATGTGTTGCCGAGATGAGACATTTCAAACATCATCGTCTTCAAATTCACCGTTCTGACAGATCCCGAGAAGACCGCTATCATGGGGTCGGTTGTTGATCAGATTAAGACATAAGCCGAGGTACGGACCAATCCACTAAGTAGCAGCAACTAAATCCACTGATTGTGACGATTGTGACCTCGATTGGCTACACGTTCCACAAAGCTGTTATAACTGCTAAGCTTAGTAATCATCCAATCAGATTAATCCATTCGATCGAGTGGTGCGTACCAGGGGTGCCTGTTGTGCTCGCGTGCCTGTCGGCTGTTCGGATGGTCCGTCTGAGCAGATTTACTGTCTTTTGTTCGAGGCGAACTGTTATTCTGTACTTTTTCATTTTTACTTCTTTTTATTGACTACGCAATGATACCATTTACAGGAAGGGGGATGCGGCCAATCAAAGGGCTGCCTTACAACACACAAATGGGGAAAGCCAGATGGTCGTGGTGGTGGGATTCGAACACGTCCTCCGGATTGAGATTTGGGTGACGTTACCACCAGGCCACCACAGCTGGAACTGTATATCTTATCCCACCGCAGTACACCGGTTTCAGACTTCCACGTCCCATTGGAACTCTCATTTTTATTGTCTGACTCACATTTCATCCTGGAATTGGAGAGTGTTTGAGAATTGGGTCGCGCTCGAATAACGGTGCCAAACTGTTTTGCGTCACTGTTGGCCCCCATCCCGTTCGCTCTGACCGGGTCAAACTTTCAGGTAGTGGTCAAGTGTTTAATGACATCACAGCGCTGACCCCGAAGTCGTGAGTCGAAATCTGGCCAACAACGCTTATCACCATTATCTGTTTTCCCCACAGTGTTAGATGGGCTGAAGGCGCTCCGTGAAAATGTACTGTACAACTGTCCGTTACATAAATAAAAAAGAGATAGAAAGATAAGTATAACTATTAAATTTTGTCCTACTATGGAAGATGTATATCTAATAACTGCATACTGTGCAGTTATGGGAATCGAGAACCTAACCCCGAAAACCGATTACGGTGAACGAATTTAGGTCCAGTGATATAGGTGTTACTATTTTTCCTGGTGATGGCTAATCTTCCCCCCCCCCGCCGCCGCAGGTTAAGTGGACTGCTGACGGTCGGTTTCCCATCCAAAACCGATATGGTAGCAAGAAAACTGAAATTGATGATGTGGTACCATGGTATACAAACATTTTGCTTTCCTTTTTATGGAGCATATACTGGTACGAACAAATTTCGGAACGAGGTCTGCGGCCAACTAAAGGCCTTCTGAGATTAAGTTGGTTGATGATGCTAGTAGTGGCGCGGGATGGTAGGGGATTCTGTTACACGATTTCTGGGTCGATTGGTTAGTTACCTGTAACCCTGAACCATTATTAAATATGTGTAATGATGTGCTATTGAATGTGCAGTTATTCTTACGGACCACTTTGGTTTATAAATTAAATCCGGTTTTAACTTCTCCATCGAACTTAAGCCCATCCTTTCATTGGCTATCATTTTGCTGTCGAGACTTGCTTCACTCCTCCCTAACAATAATATTCATCCCTGTTCGATGAACTACCTAGTATACAAAACAAATGAAGGGTGAACTGAAAAGCCACGAAGCTGTTTTAACCTGGTTGGGTTTGATCAGCAACGTTATTTTGTTTATAGAGAAAAATGAAAAAGCGGTCTAATCAGCTGTCCTCTGGTCCAGTGGGTCTTACCTGTGAGGTCCCGGGTTTGATCTCCAGTTGGATCAGTGGAATCGCACTGTTGATTAAACCTGATCGGATAGAAACAGATGTCGATGGCTACCTAGATTTCAGTTTTCCCTTAATTTATTCTTTTTAGATGAAGGAATTCATCAAATAACCAACTGAAGTCCTCCAATACTCTCATGTACTTTTTATCATTATGGAGTCATGAGGTCGTGGGTTTGAATCCCTCCTTTCACCGTTACTCTTCTTCTCCATTGTTTCTTGTCCCCAGGTAGCCTTAGATGGGCCGCATTTCACTTTCCGAAAATTCATAGCACAATTTTATGTTCATTGTGTAGAAAGAAGTAAAGTGCTACTGCTAGTAGTAACATAACCAACATAATTGTGAGCCGTCTTCACTAATTATCCACTGCGGTGCATACACAGCTTAATCGATGGGTTCGGAATTTATGCCCGAGCGACTCTGTAACACGCGTTGACTTATTATACCTGGACGAAAAATGAACTACTTATTCTTCTGGGACTTAGTAGAACTTCTTTTCGTAATGCCACCTGGAATAGGCAAACAGTTTTACTCCTAAACATATAACTTTCAGCCGGGTTGGAAGATAACTGAGCTTACACGTGCGCTGTTTGGAAAAGAGTATGAACAACTTCTTTCTGTGGTGTCACTGAACACTGAGGAGAGAGAGAGGAATTTCCAGAACTGGATCCCCATATTTTCCACGGCCACGGTTGCTCTATTGCCTCACACTGTTTTTATTCTATGCAATTCATTCGCAACACCCGATGCGATTTAGTATACGATGACATGTAAAGATCATCAGACCTGGATTTCCGTAGACACGAGTATGTATGCCTTTAGTGATTCACTGTTGTGCGTATTCTCGCGGAGTTTGCACTGTCCTGTGTTATCACTTACAAGAAGGGGGTAGAAGTGCACTATTCGTACTACACTTTCTCTCTAAAAATTGAACACTTTGATTTTACTTAATCCCCAACGATTTTATTGTGAGATTACCTCCAAAAATGCGAAATATACATACTAAAGAAATCCAGTTGTCATTGGTGCATCACGCATAGCAGTTTTACTGTAAATTCTTGATGTATTATTTATATTACTAACAAAAATGAGTGATCACATCAGTTATTCGACTTTTTGTATGTTTTGCATTTTAGCTAACATGATCGCTTTCAAGATGAAGATCTTTGACCCGAAGGAATTCAGTTTGTTCGCCTACGTCGATGGAAAAGGTAAATTTTTCGATTTAATTCATGCACGATTTCTATCTATTATGCGTCTGTGTGTGTATTTGCGCGAAGTATCTAATGCAATCCGTCTCGGTGACACGAAACTATGTATGGCCATCTCCATGGTCAAAAGGAACAAAGCACTGTATGTTTGCGTCCTGTAAGGCTTATCAGGACCAGTCATCTGTTAAAACATCTTACGCATATCCGAGAAGTCGCTGGGTTGATTACGTAACATCTGTCACATTTTTGCCACTAGAATTACCTTCATTACGAACGAAATTGATGTGCTTTAGATTGGTCGGTTTGAATGAGCCCGTTCGTATTGTCCCACAGGTACCACGCTCTGTGCATAGTCTTAATGCACAATGGCACGAATGGAATCATCCAAACCTAACATTCCTGATCCTTATAGAAATTTGCCCCAAATGTTAATTGTTTAACATGTGACCCAGGGATAAGGGTTACCACTCCTAACCCGATGGTCAGCTGTTCGATTCCCGGTAGGGACACACGAAATTTACCTTATTAAGGAGTCCCAAAAAGACGAAATAGCTTTATCGGTCATCAAACAATAATTCTAGCGAAAGAGACTTAGCTTCCACCCAGATAGCAGACAATGCTGATTGATCTCATTTCTTCATGCATTGGCAAAGAATATTAGCTTAATCACGAACTCAGGCTATAATAAATTTTTCTTAGAATTCACTGGAGTCCACCGAATGAACTTCTAAGACAAGATTAATTGTTCAAATTGTTGTTTGACAGATTGAGTTCCTATTCAGGGACACATGAAATATGTAGAATATCACTCGCTACAAATGCACAGATCACGGTAATCTATGGTGAACGACTCATTTATAAAATTGACGAGAGCAATATTGCTTGTTGTCAGAGGCTTCAGTCTCATGATAACTATGGGGCTGTCCTTTGTCACTCGCAGCTGGAATCACCCGGGACCGAAATGCAGTATCTCCTTTCATTTTTCTCGGTTGATTGTTTATCACAAGAACCTTACTGTCTGCTTAACCAACAGGCAACCTTACCTCTCAGAGTATTTCGTCACATGGTAGTAATTTGGTTGAATCTCTATCTTAGGTGTATCATCACAAGGAAAGGAATAGGCAGCAGAAAGAATTTCGAAAGACATTGTCGCGTAATACATAATCTGAATGTCTGTAACATTATATAACATCGTGAGTGATTTCTTATTACACCCTTGCTGATATCTTGAACCCATAGAGCGACTGAATAAATTGGTCCAAAGGGCCCACTGTTATGTAATGGAAACCGGTGAGTGGTGGGGGCAGTTTGAAACTCGTATTCTGTGGACCGGAGCATCCCAGTGCTAGCAACAAAAACCATGAAGAACCTGCGCTACCACCACCACCAGCACCACCACCAGC